CCTTTATACTGTGCATTCTTTGAATCCCGTACAACCTCAACAGGTTATGGGCCCAGAGCGCAGAAAAGTAAAAATCGAGTGCGTGTTCTAAGTCTCGTTGTTCTGTAAAAATAACCTCTAGAAGAAATCATCATGTCGGTCGTCATTGGAACGCAAAACATTGAAAAATTGAACGATACTAATTACGAGTCGTGGAAAATTCAAATAAAAAGTGTACTCGTATGCAACGAATTATGGAAATACACCAGTGGAACCGAAATTCGCACGCCCGAAAACAGTGATGTTTGGACATCGAAGGATGAAAAAGCGCTGGCGTTAATACTATTGAGCATTTCGAAGAATCAATTAAATCACGTTAAAAAGGCAACAACGTCGCATGAGGCATGGGAAAAATTAACAAACATATACGAATCCAGAGGTCCGGTAAGGAAATCCGTTCTATATAAGCATTTATATCGTATGAAGAAAGGACAAGGACAAAGCATGATGGAATACGTGAATAGTTTTGTCGATAAAGTAGAACAATTAGAAGACGCTGGAATAAAGTTACCAGAAGAACTAATATCAATCATAATGCTGAACTCATTACCACCCGATTACGAGAACTTTTGTGTTGCCATGGAGTCACGAGATAACATACCGACGATTGATTTCCTTAAAACAAAGCTTATTGAAGAGGAAGCGCGACGCATCGATCAAGATGATTGTAAAAATCATGACTCAGAAAACAACGCATTAATGGCAAGTAATAAAGGATCCGTCAAAAATGCAAAAGACACACATACGAAATACACGAAAAACTACAAGTTTACGGGAAAGTGCTATAAGTGCAACAAGATCGGACATAAATCGATAGACTGTAAGAGCAAATCAAAACGTCATACAGGAAATAACACACAAGATGCAATGTTTGCATGTGCCCAATATAGCGGACCACAAAAGTCAACGCAGTGGTGCCTAGACAGTGGTGCGACAAACCATATGTGTCACAACAAGGAAAAATTCCATGAATTAAATGCAGATGAGAGGTGTGACGTCTACACCGCTACAGAACATTTTGTTGAATCCGGCGGTAGTGGTGACGTAAGAATGAAAGTGAGATTAGGGAACAGTAAGATGAACGACATTAAGTTAAAAGGCGCGATGCTAGTGCCACAATTTAGAAGTAACTTATTGTCAGTATCTCGTATGACCGACAATGGCTACACGGTGACATTTAATAAGAAATGCGCGTTCGTAAATTGACACGATGGTTCTACGGCGTTAATTGCAAAAAGACAGGGGCAGTTGTATGTTGTAGATGAAGCTGTACAATCGGGGGCCCTGGCTGCGCGTGATGTCGGAAATAATAATCTTCTACGCTGGCACCAAAGGTTTGGCCACCTAAATCTAAGAGATCTAAAAAGGTTACAGTCTCAGGAGATGGTAATTGGCCTAAATATGAAAGGTAATTCCACAGAAATTAATTGCGAAGTTTGTAACAAATGTAAAATTCACCAACTTCCTTATAAAAGTTCAACTAAGAGGGAAAAAGAAAGACTCGGGCTAGTACATTCCGACATATGCGGTCCCATGAACGTCCCTTCATTAGGTGGAGCAAGGTACTTTGTAACATTTATCGACGACATGTCTAGACATGTAGAAGTCGTGATGTTGAAAAAACGTTCAGACGTTATAACAGCCTTTAAGGCTTACAAAAGGCGCGCTGAAAAAGAAACCGGTTGCAAAATAAAGAAAATTCGTACAGATAACGCGAAAGAATATTTATCCAAAGAATTTAGTAACTTTCTTGAAGAAGAAGGGATCAAGAGACAACTGAGCGTCGAATACTGTCCTCAACAAAACGGTATCGCTGAGCGTGCTAACAGAACCTTGGTAGAAATGGCACGCTGCATGTTATTACAGTCTGGAGTTCCCAATAGTCTGTGGGGTGAGGCCGTCAACACTGCGGCTTATATCCGTAATAGATGCCCAACAAAGGTATTAGAACATTCAACACCCATAGAAGCCTGGTCGAATGAAAAACCATACGTAGGTTTTATGCGTATATTTGGCAGCAAGGTCATAGCGCTCGAAAAGAAACCCTTTAGAGGTAAGTTTAACCCAAAAGGAAAGGAGTATATACTGGTTGGTTATTCACAGGAGTCCAAGGCCTATAGATTGTGGAATCCTCATACAAACACGATAATAAAAAGCCGTGATGTGAGATTCACTGAAGACTTGGAAGGTGAAGTAAGTAGTTTGGAGAAAAATTTCAGGGTCCTCCTAAATCCAGATTGGCACCAGTCAATGGAATTGCCCAGTACCAAGCCAGTGGATCCATCTACCGTTCACGAAACAAACGAAGAAATAGGCGAAAACATGGATTCCGAACAAGAATCAAGCGAAGAAAATGAAGAGGAGACGAATGAAGAACAAATAGATACTCCGAAAATTTCAAGAAGAGGTCCTGGCCGACCAAAAATATTGAAAACTGGAAAAAGGGGTAGACCAAGAAAATTATATCATGAAATGAGACACAATGAAGGATCATCAGCTGAGCCATCTAATATAGAAGAAATAGAAAACAGAATCGACAAACAAGCATGACTAGATGCTATGCAATTAGAATATGACTCCCTCATGAAGTACAAAACATGGGAGCTCGTAACACGACCCAAAGGGAAGAAAGTACTGTCCAATCGATGGGTATTCAAAATAAAAAGGAAACAAGATGGGTCAATAGATAAGTATAAGGCACGCTTAGTGGTACGTGGCTGTGAACAAAAACACGGCGTAGACTACGAAGAGGTATTCGCACCTGTAGCAAGATATGAGACAATACGCGCTTTTCTCGCCGGATGTGTTCAAGAAGAGATGCATGTGCATCAAATGGATGTCAAGACTGCTTATATACAAGGTGACTTGCCGGACGAAGTCTATATGATGCAACCTGAAGCTTTTGAAGTCCAAGGACAGGAGGAGAAAGTCTGTCTCTTGAAAAGACCACTCTACGGCTTAAAACAGGCAGGTCGATGTTGGTATGAAAAACTAGATACTTATTTTAGAAGTATAAACATGTTAAATAATGATGTGGATCCTTGCGTCTATGTAAGTACTAATAAGAATAATAGAGTAATAATAATAGTTTACGTAGATGACTTACTTGTGGCATCAAAAGACATGCATGAATTACAAAAGCTAAAGGATACTTTAAGTAACAAGTTTCAGATGAATGATTTAGGTCCTGTAAATGACATTCTCGGAATAAACATAGAAAGGGATGGGCACACAGGAAAAATAAAGTTAACACAACAGAGATATATTACAGATATACTACAAAGGTTTAAAATGGAAAATTGTAAACCAATATCGACTCCACTTGAAGCAAACCAAAAGCTTGTAAGAAGGTTGGAACCAAGCACAGAAGAAGAGAGATTGAATATGAAACGTAGACCTTACAGAGAATTAATAGGAAGCTTAATCTATTTGGCTAACGCAACGCGTCCGGATCTAGCGTTTGCTGTCAATGCGTTAAGTCGTTTCTGCACGGATCCCGAGGAGGTTCATTGGAAACTTGCAAAAAGGGTAATACGGTATTTGCAACATACTATCGATTACGGCATAACATATGCTAAAGACTGTAAAAGAATGCAAGCTTATGTAGATTCGGATTGGGCCGGTGATGTAGAAGATCGTAAGTCATGTAGTGGTAACGTAGTTATAATGGCTAATGGCCCAATTAGTTGGAAATCAAAGAAACAAAAATCTGTAGCACTATCCACGATGGAAGCTGAGTACATGTCTTTATCGGAAGTATGTAAAGAAATAGTATACTTAAGACGTTTGTTAGAACATATGGGATTCAAGTCTTGTGTAACAGATGCAACAAAAGTGTATTGCGATAATCAAAGCGCGATAGAGTTAAATAAAAATCATACATTTCATGGTCGAAGTAAACATATCGACATTAGATATCATTTTTCGCGAGAAATTAGAGAAAGAGGCGAAATTAATTTAAGTTACTTACCTACCGATAGAATGATAGCAGATCTATTAACAAAACCCTTGACCAAAGCAAAGCACGAAGAATGCGTAAAGTTGTTAGGATTAAAATAAGAATAGAAAGTTAAGAGGTAATGATGTTTTTTTTATTTTGTTCCTTTGGACGCATTGATAGGAGGAGTGTTAGAATGTAAGGTTCAATTAATCAATGCGCCCTGTCTTCTACTTTAGTACATAGCGCGTTTCTATTTTTGTTTTATATTCTGGCGCGTAATGTGTGCGGTAGCATCATGCGCATGCATCCGGTTTCCTGTTCCGTCCTCCCTCTTGTGGGTTGGTTTTTCTGTATGTGTCATGTGTAGCTCGCCGTGTCATCACGCTGTACAACCAGTGTGCGCTAAATAAACTTTATATCCTTTATACTGTGCATTCTTTGAATCCCGTACAACCTCAACAAAAGTGATACTAATTATAATTTTATTTTGATTTGTTTAAGAGTTAAAGTGATACTAATTATAATTTTATTTTAATTTGTTTAAGAGTTAAAGTGATACTAATTATAATTTTATTTTAATTTGTTTAAGAGTTAAAGTGATACTAATTATAATTTTATTTTGATTTGTTTAAGAGTTAAAGTGATACTATTTATAATTTTATTTTGATTTGTTTAAGAGTTAAAGTGATACTAATTATTTTATTTTGATTTGTTTAATTATTTATCTTTTATTTTATTGTTTCAATAGTAACATATACAATTTAATAAAGTTACATATTTTTAAAAGTAGAGTTAAATACATTTAAAAGATTCAGACTTTTCTTTTAATTCAAAGCAGTGTATGTATAACTATGATTGATAAAAACAAAACAGTATTTTTTTAGTATTATAATATAATATTGTACTGGATATAGATATATATGTATAACAAAACAGTCAAAATATATAATATATTTATTACAGAAATGTTCAATTATTTATTTATTCTAAATACAAAAACAAATGTAACTTATTTTTAATTTTACATGTTTGGTAGCAAATACATAATGGCGTTTCTTTTTTCAATGCCCTCTCTCTGTTCGCAATTTATTTCTAATTGTGGTGGCGCGATATTTGGCTCATTAACAATAATAGGAATGTTTATCATATCATTTTGTAATATGCATATATTATGCAGAATACAACATGCAATAATATATTTTGGGATCAAATCTGTTCTTCGCATTGGAAGTGTATCCAGAATGCTTCTAAAACGACCTTTTAACAAACCTAACGATCGTTCTACAATCATTCTTGCACTAGAAAGTCGTTTGTTAAAATTTATTTGACGTTCAGTTAAGTGACCATTGTCCTTAAATGGTACCATAACGTGTTTGGTAAGCCGATATGCTGCATCGCCTAATATATGACTATCATGTGGAAAATTTTCATTAGTGAACATGTTTTCGACATTTGATAAACGAAACACACGCATGTCGTGCACAGATCCCACTTGTCCTGTGTAACAATGAATAAACCGTAAACGTGCATCACAAATAACCTAGAAACAAATTAATTATTTATTATTTATTTATTATATATGTTATTTTATTTGATTTATTATTATATTATTATATTACTATATTATTTTTTATTATTTTATTATATTTTATTCATTATTTATTTTATTATATTTATTATTTTATTTATTAATTATATTATAATTATATGTAATTTATATATTATTTATTATATATCTCTTACTTGTAATTGAATAGAGTGATATCCCTTTCTATTTACATATGATTCACCGTGATATTTTGGCGCAGTAATTTTTATATGCGTTCCATCTATCGCACCGATAACTCCTGGGAAACCGTAATTATTTTCTATTGTTTCCATAGTTTGCTCTGCGTCTTGTCTATTTGGCCAAGAAATAAATGTTCCTACTTTTTCATATAACGCATTAATCACTCTTCGCACAACTCGCCATGCAGTACCTTTACCAACATTGAATCTGTCTGAAACACATCTGAATGGTTTATTGATTAATACTCTTTTTCTTCACCTCTAGATATCTGGCACATAACTTATTTGCAAGATATATATATTTGCTAGAATAGTCAATTTCTATTGGCTAATCAGCAAGTTACTCGCCGGATAAAGTTATCTGGAGATGAAGAAATTGGCCATAAATGTTTGTAATATAAAATTCTCATTTAAATTCAATAATATGTATGCTATTTACCTGTAAGAATTTGGTGTAGCCAATGTCCATATCGCAATCAGTAATTGCTTCTCCGGAGAAATTGGTTCTCTGCCAAATCTTTCACTCTGTTTACAGAGTTTTGGTCTTAATAACTCCAATAAAAAATTAAAAGTATTCCGTTTTATTCTACAATAATAATTATTTTGATGTATATATATATGAGTAAGAATAAATAATGTGTATTAATTAACTTATTTGTAGATTGATTATATATTCATAAGATAGGTGTAATAAGAAATATATATTTGAAAGAGAGAGAGAGAGAGAGAGAATTGTAAATTTGACAGAGATAGTTGTTTATAATTGTAAAATAGATTATAAGAGAGGGACATTTTTATATTATATTAAATTAATAATATTTATAAGGATTAATTATATGTACACGTATATCTTACCGAAAATGCATTTGAAATTCCGTATCTGTATATAAAGGCACGACATTTTCTACATAATTTTGGCAACGAACATGTTGCATTGTACGTGGCCTATCAATTAACATTAATATTGGCAAAACATCTTCCTCATCTGATGAATCGCTTTCAGATGAGGATTCTATTATAAAAAATAAATTGGCTGTATTGACCCAGAGCCGGGTGTTAGATGCTCAAAAAATAATAAGTAACTAAATTGTCAATTCAAACGTTTCGGCACATTTATTTCGGCCATCTTCAGTGATAATATCAAAATAAGTAAACAAACGTTACAAAAGAAACATGCAATAATAAAACAAGTATGTTTCGCAAGGCTAACGCATATCGGTTGACAAAATTTAAAAGTTCGTTGTAAAATAAAATATACAAAGTAAATTAAAATAATAATGAATTAGTATCGCAAACGCAAAGTCATAGTATAATAAATGCAGGTTAGAAGATCTTACTTGAGTGTCCATGATAAAATGTAGAAGTAAATGTGTCTTCAAAATTCGAACCAATTATAAGTCAATGTGTTCTAATATGCGACATGCAAACAGCAACGCTCTGAAGACATTTTTCTTTTTGCCACCCTTTCCTATGCTTAACGGATTGCAAGAAATAAGAAGCCGACGAGTGATCGGTCAATCTATGAAAATTATGAATAAAAGAAATAAAATAGAGACTATTATAAAAATGTGAAACGAATTTAACCCAACACACGAATGGAAAGACGTTAGTCACATAATTTGCAAGAAAAACAGAGCAACATTTACCTTTGATCATAATATCAGTTGAATATAAGAAGGTCCAAAGATTATAAAGTTTGATAAAATGTTTTGGTGTCCCATTAGAAAGTTGAAGTCCGTAAGGATGGAATAAAACTTTGATATGTCCATTCGGATATATGTCAGATGAATGAATGATGAAATTGAAATGAGCAAAGATTTTGGTAGAAGGACTAGGGGCCGATCTATTAGAGGAATAGGGGGAAGGGAAGTAAGGAATATGGAAGAGGGGAGAAAAGGAGGGGGATCTAAAAAGAGTCTAAAATGAGGGAAATTTGCGAAGGATGGGTAGGTAAGAGTTAGGAAGGAAATCCGTGTCACTTTGTTTATTAAGGCTGTTCTGTTGTTTTTTTATGTGTAACATTTCAGAAATTAACCTTTTGCTATAAGATGGTTCTCTATCTAAAACCTCGATTTGATCCCATTCAAAATCATGATTGTGTTCTAATCTGTGGCTCGAAATGGTAGAGGGAGAACCAGATCTTTTATTAATGTCATTGCGATGCTCTTTGATTCTAGTACGAAGTTGTCTCTTTGTTTGGCCTACATAAGAGGCATCACAATCATGACACGAAATTTTATAAACCACTCCGCTTTGTTGCATAGGATCAAGAAAATCTTTGCCAGTTTTTATAAATTTGTCTAATCGGTTATTACAATAGTAGGCAGTATTAAAATTGTATTTTTTAGAAATGGACGTAAGTTTTTCAGAAATATTGTTGACATATGGGATTATAAAAAATTTGGTTCCTCTCTCTTTAAATTGAGATGTATTATTTTTATTATTATGTAGTAAGAATTGAATCCTTTTATTAATAGTAGAAAAAATAAATTCTAAAGGGTAGCAATTATTTAGCAAAATCGAAATTGTGTGTTTTAAATTTTTTTGTTGAAATTTAGGATGTGATAGTCGAAAATTTTATCTACTAGATTTATAATGACACCCTGTTTATGTATCAAAGGATGTTGGGAATGGAAATTTAGGTATCTTCCAGAGAAAGTAGGTTTATGGTATATATCAAAAATAAGTCTGTTGTTATCGTTAATGATTAAAATATTTAAAAAGCTAATCTGGTTGTCCGTACTAGTTTCCAAAGTAAAGTTTAGTCTCTCGTGTATTGAGTTAAAAACGTTAAGAATATTCTCAAATTCATCCCCATCCGCTGATAATAAAATGTCGTCTACATATCTATAGTAAAACCTCAAATTACAAGTTAACCGACCAATCGCCTCCTCCTCCAAGTCCTGCATAACAATGTCGGCCAAGACAGGTGACAAAGGGGAGCCCATGGGTGTGCCAAAAATTTGTCTATAAATAGTTTGATTAAACGTAAAAAACGTGGAGTTCAAAACCAAATTCACCGCAGTCATAAAATCATTTTTGTTTAGATGAGTATACTTTTTTATAAGGTCCCATCTCTTGGTCAAACTAATGTTAACAGCCTCAGAAGGGATATTAGTAAAAAGAGAAACAACGTCCAGAGAGGCAAGAATGCAACTCGGATCGAGTGTTACATCTTTCAATTTATTCACCAGATCGAAGCTATTAGTAATGTTGCTCTCCGGACGCGGTAAACTTTTATATATTATGTTGTGTAAGTAAACCGCGAGAGAATGTAGGGGGCTGTTAACAGATGAGACAATTAATCTTAAAGGACAACCAGATTTATGAATCTTTGGCAACCCATAAACTCTAGGCAAAATGCCATCGGTGGTCATGATTTTTTTATATGTATACTCATCGATAAGTTTTCTTTTCTTCCATCCGGACAAGAGAGTGCGTAACCCGTCAGTAATCTTTCTGGTAGGATTCTTTTTTCACAATATCATTATGTAGAACTGTCAGAAAG